CAATATTCAGGACATAGACGTGGATGTGATGGCTATTGTCAACGACACAACCGGCACATTGATGTCGTGTGCGTTAAAGAACAGGGAGTGTAGGGTCGGCCTTATTATCGGTAATTATAAAACCAATTACTGAACCCAAATAACTAGTGAATACAGAATACCTAGTATTCCATAGATTATGGCATTAAATAAATGCAAACAAAACCATTTCCCATATTAGGCACGGGAGCCAATGCTTGCTATATGGAGACACTGGAGAACGTGGAGCTGTTTAGCGATGACTTCCCTGATGTGAATCAAGTGGTGGTTAATACAGAATTGGGTGCTTTCGGTGACAATCGGATCCTTAACTTCATTCGCACGAAATGGGACGACGAGGTCGACAGCATTTCCCTCAATAGAGGCAAACAATTGTATGACATTTGCTATCAATTCTATAATCTATTCCTAATTTTTGTAATCATATTAATTATTCATAATGTCATTATCATTATTTATAACACGTGTGTTGCCATGTACTCTATGAATTGAGATTTTGTGTTAATTCTCGGAAGTTTGTTTAATCATTTAATTTTTAGATTTTTATGTTATTATCAAATCAATAATTCATGTTTATTATAAACAACCTTAATCTTATATCAATATATTGATATTTAAATTAAATGTTTGCATTAATTTTTACATAAATTTAATTTATCCCAGGTTTGAAAAGATGATATCAGGCATGTACCTAGGTGAAACTGTTCGCTGTGTTTTGGTAGATCTGTGCAAAAGGGGATTCATATTCGAGGGCAAGGGATCAAATAAATTATTCACTTCAAAGGCATTTCAAACGGCATACATATCTGGCATAGAATCGGACAAAGAAAACGAATACCTATTCACTCGGCAAGTGATGTCTGCGATGGACTTGAGGGATGCCTCCCTCGATGACTGTGATGTGGTTAAACTGGTCAGTCATATAACCAATTAAAGTGTAATCAATTAAATTACAAAACTTATGCCCAAATAAAAGGTGTGCAAAAGGGTGTCCACTCGTGCGGCACATCTGGTGTCGGCAGCCGTGGCGACCATATTGAACAAAATGAAGAGACCGCACACCACAGTGGGAGTGGACGGATCGGTATACAAATTTCACCCACACTTTCACGACCTAATGATGGCCAAGATATCAGAGTTGGTGCGCCCGGAGTTCACGTTTGATTTGATGTTGTCGGAGGACGGCAGCGGTCGCGGGGCGGCCCTCGTGGCAGCCGTGGCCGCCAAACAGGAGCACCGGCGCAAAATCAGCATGGAACAAATGGGACTGTATGTGCCGCCCAGGGATACCGTCAACAGGAAGAACTCGCGCCGGGAGTTGGAGGACTTGGTCTCCAAAATCAACCGGACAAACCTCAACGTTACTTAATACGCGTTACGACATTAATTTTTAGGTCATAATCATGTGTTTATTACTAAGAAATTGATTTTTATAAAAATGTTTTATATATGAAAAGTTCCACAAAAATAATGAAAAGTATTTTTTAAGTGCAAAGTGTCCACACAATCAGTGAAATTGCATTTGAAAGTGAATATATTTTTTATTATAGCTATTTGAGGTTTAATAATATGAAATACTTTTTTAAATAGTTTATTATTTTACGGTTGCAATCAAAGCAATAGTATATCATTTTTAGGCTAAGAACTAACTTAAGAGTTGTGTTGATATGTACTGTTATCCAGCAAGTTTTTTGCTGCGAGTCTTGATTGAGATTCAATACAAATATTCCGCTCAAAACACATTATGTAAAGTAAAATTAATATCATTTTAAGAAAATGTGACTTATTTTTAAAAATACTTTTAGTTTTATGTTTATATAGTAATTTACATTTACTCTACAATTGATTTTCATTGATTTAATTATATTTCAATTTTAATTATGAATACATTTTTAAAAACAATTATCAAATATTTGTTCCTATTCTAATAATTTTATTTAAAAATAAATATTTAATTTTTTATCTAAAAACTTATACTATTATATGAATCTTCATCATTTTTAACAACATTAAGTCATCAAGCAATAATTAATTCATTATTTCAAAACTGTTGTATTTCTGAATATTGTAATTCAACTATAAAACTATCCACACGTTTAGCACATCTATAAAAATCATTGTCTTATGGAGTCATTGGAGTCATCATTAGCCTCGACATCGATGTCGGTGTCATCCATAGTATTCACTTGACAGCAGAAGTCATTCATATCTGATTGAGTCTGATGTTTGGCCCCAACCTGCGAATTATCACTTGAATGGCAATCATCTAAATGTTTGTTGCAATGTTTGGACGAATCAAAACTAGTGGTCAAATCGATGACCAAATTCTGGTCATCATTCATATCATACATTCTCTGACTCATGGAATTTGTCGAAATATTTTTATATGAATTGATTTGATGAATTGAATCTGAATTGTAATCACTATTAGCATATGCTTTGGTTAAACACAACTCTCGCTGATGACATTTCACGCCATTACTAATATTACTAAAATTGTAGGGATTGTGAGTGTGAAGACTCATATCAAATGGATGTGTCTTTAACTGCAAAACACAAAACAAATTAAACTAATTATAAGTATTGCGACAAATATTAGGGAATAAAATGCATAAGAAATTAATTTAAATTAATTACTGGATTAATAAAAATTTCTCTTTTGATGGCAGCCTTCAGGATAGGGAACGGAAAGTCGGGTTTTTTCAGTACAATCTCTTTCCACGAGTCACTACTGGCGCACAACTTTTTCCTCGACGATGACAATGAACTCGAGCCCAACGAAGGTCTGGAGATCTCTGCATAGATAGCGATCACCAGAAATATGTTTAATCAATGGATAACTCATTTCAAATTACTAATCAATCAATTATTGCTAGTTTAAGCACATCCTCAATGACTTACTAGTAATGAGATGTGGTGCTGACTGACTGACGACATCCATGTCCTGATTTAAAGCTTGCGATAACATCTGCAGTTTGATGGGCGCCGACAGCTCCTGGTCTGACGGTCGTCTTAACTGCAGGTAAATTATCTTATCCTGATTTATGGGTTCCGCGTATTTGGGGGTCAGTAATGAGATGCCGATGTGTCTGTATATGAAGGCAATGACACCAAAGTCTTGCCATTTGACACCATTTTGGTCGTCCAGTTCATAAAAGCGCACTTCGATGTCGTCTCTCAAGACAAACGACGTGAAGAGCATTAGTTTGGATCCATTGGTCGATATTGTGTGCGAAGAGATGTCGATAACATTGAGTTCATTGCAAGACTTCTTATCAAATATGACATCCGAGACGACCGGTTGCAGTGGTATTGAGTACTGACCCGTCTTTGGGTCTTCGAGTAATACTTGAAAACACAGACTAAAGACAAAACATATTTCATATAATTAGTGGTCATTTAGACTGATGTATGAATTGATGTGATTATACCGAACGGCACTTAAGTTGATCTCAAATGAGGAACAATTCATGTGATCGAAGCCGCAGTCGAAGGGATCGATTTGGAGGGCCTGTCGTCGCTTCAGACGAACGCGAATATCGTTACGTTTGGCGCACTGTATGCCCATCGATGGGAAGGTTGCGATCATGTCTTTGTTGTCGACAATCATTTTCGAGATACCATTAGTGCATCGCTCGCCCACCAAATTGTGCGGATGCTGTCTATACGGGAAGTCTTTGGTCACACACGACACGATCGCCAGAGCACTGCCCGAGTAGTTCACTACCTTTTAGGACATTTGCTTTGTGTTAAATAGGTTTCAATCGTATTATAAAGAGATATGCACTCATTATCTACTAATAAATTTTTGATCTTAAATTATATTGAACGATTAAATTAATTAGAAAACATTAATTCATAAAATTTAGTGTAAAGATATTTTTTAGGAAAAATATTTTGCAAATCTTAACCGAATAATTATAAAAATTAAAATAATGAGCTATTATTAGTAACATTAAGATAAGAAAGAAATACCTGTATAGCGGGGTATGTAGTGATATCGGGCGTTGAATTGACTCCAGGTATAGATCCAGCACTCCTACCCTCGCACTCGTACCTGAATCTCGTGCCACCTCTGGCCGGCTGTTCAATGATCCGCACAAATGGTGTTTGAGATAACGAGAAGATCTTATCAGTCATGATATAACGGGATATCTCTGGCAGACAAGTGTTATAAATGTTTAACAAATGTAATAAAGATTTGACAAACAACTGAAGTTAATAAAAAATTTTCTACAAATTTTTAAAAGACAAACATTTGAAACAAAATGAAGATTAGAAATGGTTTGTGTGGAAGAGCCAGACGTTTATTGTTTGGATTTTTCTATCTAATAATTTAGAGGATATTTTTTGGGGAAAAAATTTTCTACAAAAATAATATCTATTTTTTTATACGATTTTTGTTTTGTTTTAATATATATATAAAATAAAGTTATGCAAAAATTTTTCATCTCTTTAATGAACGATTTTAATGAATGCAAAAAATGGGAAAACATTTTTTTAGAAAACCTGACAAAAAACAATTAGTTTCCCAACAAATATTTATAGAGACATGTTGTGTATCTATAATTATAATGAAATTAATTTAATTACTGAAAATAGTAATAAGAAAAAGGAGTTATTTTTTAATATCGTAAGACTAGATATGATTTTCAAGTTCTCTGACAAACGGGAAAAATCCAATGAAAACGAAATTTTTATAAGTTATACACAAATATAACTTATTATTTGTGTTTTAACTGAACGGGAAGTTTGTGTGAAATACAGGTTTGTTTACGGATTCGCATGGATTAGCTTGAAGATTATTACGTAAAGAAAATTTTTGCCACAAAAATTGCGTTAAAAAATTTGTTTTCCATTTAATTGCATGATATTTACATAGAAATTGAAAATTATTACTTTTTCTCAATTACCGTATTACAAGAATCAACTTTATTATTGTATTAATAAGTTATCTATGAATTGATTAATTTAGGTTTATTTTTGATAATAAATTTTAATGTTGGGTAAAAATTATTCATTTTCTCATGTGTTATAAGAAAATATTTATTTAGTTTATGTAATCATAATAATAGTGATGGAAAATGAAGTTAATGTGAGCCTTCAGTGTCCTTAAGCTTAACATAAATTTATTTAAATATATGAATAACTTATTGGGAAAAATAAGTTAAATGTCTAATATAATATTATAATCAAATAAAAGGAAAGTTAAATGTATTATAATTTTATCCACAAAAATCTCAATGAATATTAAAGTGAAAGGAATATTTTGGGGAAAATAATAAATGAATACATAAATAGGTTATTCTCATAGCTTCAACCATAATGTTAATTAACAATTTTCATCCCATTTTATAAATGTTATGCTAAATAACTTATTGTGCAATATATTCAAATTAAATTTTAACATTTTAGAATTTATTTATATCGTAAAATTTAATAAATAATTCTATAAATTAATATTATTAAATAATAATTAATAAACTTCTGATGCAACATAAAAAATTAATCTAAATTTTTCTATTTCAATCTAATTTATTGGACAACTTTTGCACAACTCGTGTCTGTCGATTTGGTATCTTGATTATATAGCCAGTTACAATAATAATAATTAGTATACATACTTGTATATAAATAATTATAAATTATTTGAAGCAAATGATATAACTTATTTTGTTACAAATAAAGAAACTTTTAAAACATAACAAAACTTCTAAAAGTCTAATGATTAACATAATCATAAATTAAACAATATTTTCATAAATTTTACATTTATTTATTATATTCAATATTAAATGTTATTTTACAAGTTATTCGTAATATGTTTATAAATATAAATCAAATTATACAATTAGTAAAGCATATGTTTTAATAATTAGTTAACAGTAAACATAAATAAAGTTATAAATTAAATTAAAAAAACACAATTCCCTACATAAATAACCTTTCATTAATTATGGAATAAATTACTTAAATTAAATAATAATTTTTACAATGTAATCATTAACAAATATTAATATATAAACATATATTGTATATATATTTTATTATTCATATTAAATAATTATTTTATGAAAGCAATATTTTTATGTTATTTAGACAATAAACGTGATCTAATAAAATAAAAATTAATTACAATATATAACTACACAAACCAAAATAATATTTCAAACATTAACCATAAAATTCAAAATTTGTTTAAATATAATATTATTTACAATCCTTTTATGTTTGATATAAAACTGTTTAATACATTAAAACCCAATATTCATGAATACTGTGATATAATACTCGGAAACATTACTTAATAATAAATTCTTTAAAACACTTTTCATAAGACAACTAAATAATCGGTTAAATAATGATTTGTATTTCAGTGAAATCTCTACGAGACATATGGTTTGCCCCAAAAATGATCGCAAACTCCTCTGCGAGAGAGTGAATATAATTTCAGACCAATAGATGTCTTGTGATTACTTGTGATCACATAATCATCTGAACGAACTTTCCCAACGGAATGGTAGCACAGAATCAGACGTTTTGTTCGGTTTCGCTGTCATTGTGCTTGTCTTTGGAGTTCTTGAGGGCACAGACACTGAGGAGAGTGTTGTGTCGATCGGAGTTGTGGGACAAATGCATTGTAGTGCTGAGTCCGGAGGCGTATTGGGCGGCCGCGCGGGTCCTCTGGTGACCCCTCTGTTCTGACTCACACGTCAGCATACGCTTGAAAGCGCGCCGGAACTTAATGCTACAGGCGCTGTATATGATGGGGTTGATTGCACTGCACATACACCATAATTTGTGTCAAATTTTATTCAATTATACATGCACTAATGTCTAACAATTTACATTATAATTAAATAAATTGTGTTAATTTATTTAATTAATATAAAATAATTGTTAGGTGTTTACAAACCTATTAACAAAAATCATAGTCTTGGCAAACATGAGATACCTGTAAATATAATAAATAAATTTATTATATGTTATATGTAATATATGTTTTATAAGTTTTTATAGCTTATGCAATATAAAAATATAAGTCTCATCGACTGGATTAACGATTTAATAATTATAATTCATTTAAGTACTAAATCATTATTATTACTAAACATAAGACTTATATTTTTTATTGATGTTTAATAGTATGAAATGTATTATACATACCAGAGCTCCATATACACCGGTTCGGCAAATGAATTATAGACTAATAGTGCCCTATAGGGTAACCTAAAATTATATAACAATAAACATTTTATTTATTAATATTAATAAAATTAGTGGTCATATGGAGTGAATGATTGAATAATAAAATTGTGTTCATATCTACCAAAGGGTTGCGAACACCGCCACCACAACGACTAACATTTTAACGACCTTTTCATACAAATAAACAAATTTAATTAATATTAATTATTGACTAAACAATACATCATAATAATCCACACTTTATTCAAGTTTTCTCGTAAAAATTCTGGTTTCAAAAATAATTGTATATGACATAAACTTCACTCGTTTTTTATCACTCGAGTTAATCACTCAAACAAACAAAAAAATCTATTGATTTTCGTAAACTTTTTTTTACAAAATGTAAAAAATTTGTTGTCTAAAATTACACCGCAAAATGTATATTCACTTTTTTGTGCCTTTTGTTGCATTCAATTTCTATTCACATTATATATTATACTGTGAAAGGGAGTGAGAATATATAGTATATATTTTAATCCTTAAGAATTAAGAGTAAAATAATAACCGATTCTTTTGGGTGAATACACTCTCCTTTATATTCAAACTCTATTTAAGGCTTTTCTAGTGAAACTCAAAGATGAGAACACAATGTCTTTTGGATTACATTTTTATGTATTCCCTATTCTAATGCTTCAACATTTTTCTGAAATCTTATATAATTTATTGTATATAAGATAGGAAATTCTTTTGAAAATACATTTTAATGTATTACTAATTTAATAGGTTACCAAAATTTATTCCTAATTTTTCTTGAAAATTATTTTATCAAATTAGTATAATATTTTTGAAACAACTATAGATGTCACACATGCAGACTTTGTGTGTGATATTGAATTTTGAAATAAGCTTTATAAAATTGAAATAAATAAGAATTATATTCTACACAATTTAAAATAACTATTAATGAAAAATACAAAAATTGTTGTAAATAAATTGAATTATACTGATAATGGTGCCGGCACTAATGATTATGTTAATATTGACATTATTTAAATTATATTATAAAGAATAGAATTTATCTATTTAATACTATCGAAAAATATATAATCCAATAATATAATATAATATTATAATTCAAGATTTGAATAAACTATTTATATAATAATAATAATATTTAAATGAATTTAATACGGTTTAAAAAGTATATTGACAAAGACATGGTATATACATATCCAATATATAATTCTGTAAAAAGCATTTTAAAAACGAATTTTTATTTATTTATATTATTATTTTTTATTTAGACAAATATATCAATAGTTTAGATCTCAAACCTTTTATCTTTGGAAGATTTAATGGGACGGAAAAACGTATCTTTTTGTTGGTTTTTCTTCCTAAAAATTTTCTATTCAATCAAAAACTAAAGAAAAAGTCTGAAGACTCTCTTCTGACCAAAATACCTATCAATACAATACTCTGTAGAGTCGAAGAGAGAGAGAGAGAGAGAGAGAGAGAGA